CTTTTACGTTTTATATAATGTATCAATTGCGTCAAATAATCTATTTTATTTTGAGAATTGATGTTGGCAGCGCCATCTCTCTTTAAATATATACATATAATAAAAATTATGATAATCTGTTGTCTTGTCTGTTTCTGTACATTGTATAGTATATTTTTTTGGCTAAAATCATTATGGCGAACTGAAAATAATTAAATAAGTACATTTTTATAATATTTATAATTGTCTGTCTGTCTATTTGTCTGTTTTTTTATGAACGCATCACGTCTAATGTAAACATCTTTTTTTTTCAAAGAAATCATTAAGAAAATCATAAAGCGTATCTTCGTGTTACAATTGTTATGTTTGTTTTATTAAAATTGGTTAATTCTATCGAAAGTAATGATTATTGTTTTGAAATGTAGGTTCGAATTTGTTCTTTGGCGCACTAAAATCTCAGAAATAGTAATAATAAGATTTGTGTGTAAAAATAAAACGTTCCATAATAATTATATTTATACTTAAAACAAAAAAAGTGATTAAAAAAACCGTCGGACTCGACTCGACGATCGAGTCGGACTCGCGCTCCGAGGGTTCCGAACAAGTTCGTAGGTATATAAGTTTAAAATTATTAAAAATATTTTTATTATATGATGTAACTAAAATTTATGCCTTTCGCAATTTTTCCTTTATCTGTGCTAAATACGTTGCTTCGTACCAAATTTTAAGATTCTGAGTTCACGGAAAGTACCCTGTAGGTTTTGATTCCCTTGCGAATGTAGAAAATTTGCGGCATAAACGGCTGTATATTTTGATTGCATTGGCTTAGAAGTTTGATTTTTTTCACAGCTCTAAGGGACAGTAGACTTAAGTATTTTTTATGAATTTCAGCTTCATACCTCCACGCGTTCCTGAGAAAAGGGGTCTTGACAGACAGACAGACAGACGTACAATAAAGTGATCCTATAAGGGTTCCGTTTTTTCTTTTTGAGGTACGAAACCTAAAAAGGATATTTTCTCGCAGAAAGGACGTAATAGATGGAGTTGTACAAATTACAACCTTTTCTGAATTGCGGTGTTGAGATTCTCCGCCGGTGAATCGTATTGAGACTTACTGAAGAAATTTGTATCCACCGAAACCATACAAGGGAACCCGACCAAAAATAACAAAATTGCAACGAAATGTCTTGATATTGTATTTATAATATACACAAAACCAAAATCCTTCTATTAAGATATAACTTTCCTTTCAGTCTTAAGCGCGTTCAGTTTCCAGTCACAGTCAGCGTGTGTTATGCAATGACCGTAAATAAAGCACAAGGTCAAACTTTACGCGTTGTAGGTGTGCACCTCAGTACTCACTGTTTTGCACATGGCCAACTCTATGTTGCTTTTTCCCCCTTTAGTAGCCCCCGTAACTTTTTTGTGAACACCCCGGCTAAGCCAACTTCTAACGTCGTTTACACAGAAGCTCTATCATAAACGACTTAGAACTTTGATGATAATGATTTATTTTGTTACCACTTATTGATACAGTAATGATATAAATCGTTTAATATTCTCTTACTTAAACGACAAATTCTTTATGTAAAACCAATATACGCGAGCTACGCTGCGGGCACAGCTAGTTCAAAATATGTCCGATGGTTATGGATTAAGATTGTGGCATCTTGTAATTTCTTAACAAATTTCTTAGTTGGGTTTTTGCACTATGTAGTCCATGCACTTTACTACACAACACAACTTTTTTGTAAGTAAGGATTAAATTTATATTTAAACTGCGAATATTAACCACGGAGACAAAACAGGTATTGTTGCACGATAACATGTGGACGGAGTGAGCAGAGTGAAAACTAACCAAATTTTGGAGCATATAGTATATAATATAATAATGTAGTAGTTGCGATAATTTCTGTGGTTAAGTTACGAATTAATAATGATATAAGGCATCGTAAATAGCACTTACGAATATATGCGTGGTTGTAAATTAACAAAAACATTATTTATTTATAGAAGTATCCAGTACATATGACGATATGCTTCGACCACAATATAAAATAAAACTATGCGTTATTGTGATTACTATTAGAGTGACCTAATTTCATACTTATTAACATTTACGTCATTTTATTGTATTGGAAAATTGTTTTTTTTTTATTAGCACCTGTCCCCTTTGAGTGCTAAGTACTATTAGAACATACGTGTCAACGTTCGAGGAATTTTCAAAAATAGTACTAGAAACACGAGTAATGAACCTCATTCACCACCTAAGATTCATTCTTATGAGGTACGACGAGGATTAGATGATTTAAAGAATACTTCAAACAAGCTGATAGTACTCGAAAACTGCATATTCGACATAATGATTGGAAATATATTAAACGAAAATATCTCAAAAATTTAGGAAAAGCTTATTCTAGTAAAAAGGGTGATTGTTAAAAGAGATTGTAAAGTTATAAAACTTCCATACCCTATAACATACCGCCATAAATGCTATCAAAAAATTAGTACGACGCAATGTGAAAATATTTTTCACTAATGCTGTGTTAAGACGCAAAAAAAAAAAACATTCAAATATTACTTACCCCAAATTAAACTCAATATATTCCAATTGTATCCCGGACGTCAGAATGAGCGAGATGAGAATAGCTCTCCAGCATCTTAAACACGGCAAGTCCCTAGCCGAGCATGAAATTACAGCGGAGCTTCTGAAAACGGGTGGTAAACCGGTACTTGAATTGAAGTCCTTCAGAAGCTCTTTAATTCCGTCGTCCATGGTGGGACTACTCCGGAGGCATGGAGTAGAGGTGCAGTGGTATTGTGCTTCAAGAAAAGCGACAACGCTCTTTTGAAGAACTACAGACCGATATCCCTTCTGAATCACGTCTACGTGCTGTTTTTGAGAGTTATAAATCATAAATCTTTATTTGCATGAATCACGGTATAAAAAGATGTTACAATTTATATAGTGCAGTCGTGTTTCGCTAATAATAGCATGCAAATTATAATTTTAAAATGTTTATACAATATTAATAATTATTTAAATCTAAAAAATTTTTTAAGTCATAAATGCATTCAATTTTTAACCAATCATACAAATGTTTCTTATATAGTCTTTCGCTTAATAATTTAAATTCTTTAGGTATTTTATTATATATTTTTACACACATATTAAGGCAGCTTTTGTTATATTTAACGAGCCTAAGAATAACATCTAGGACAAGTTTGTCTGGGTCACGTCGGTTTCGAGGATATATATCACTTGCTTTAACAAATAATGACTTATTTTTAAAAACGAACAAGCCGGTTTCATAAATGTATACTGACAGGAGGGGTAATATACCAAGTTTTTTAAATAGCGGTCTACAGGATTCTCCTGGTGATATCCCGCATATTGCACGAATAAATTTTTTTTGGGCAACGAATGCTCTATTTCGGTCAGTACCATTACCCCATATTATAACTCCATAGCGTAAAATAGACTCTACGTATGCGTGGTACGTTGCAATTGCTGTTTTAATATTTGTAATGTTTTTGACTTGTTTAAGGACATATACAAACTTATTAATTCTGCTGCATACGTTATCAATTTGTTCTTTCCAGTTTATATCTTCATCTAACGTTATTCCAAGAAATTTTGTACATGTAGCAACTTTTAGTTTTGGTATATTAACTTCCATATTATGACTGGAATTCATAGATTTATTAAATTATATGTAATGGGATTTATCTAGATTATTTTCAAATTATTTATGTCAAGCCATTCTATTAATGTGTCAATTGTATTATTAATGTCATCTTCATGATTTTTAAATGTATTATTATTTTTATTACATGTCACAATAATTGAAATGTCATCAGCGTATAGAATACATTTATGATTCGTGATGTCAACAATGTCATTAATTTATAATAGGAAAAGAATCGGTCCTAATGTACTTCCTTGCGGAACACCGAATTTATTATATTTATATCCAGATGAATAAGATGTCTTGTTCGCTGCTTTTAATTATCTGGTATTTATCACAGTAATCTACTATTCTTTTATACATACATTTTTCAAAAAATTTGGCTAAAATAGGTACTAAGGTGATTGGACGATAATTTCGAATATCATCCTTTCTCCCTTTTTTAAATAAAGGTTTTATGATTGACAACTTTAGTGCTTCTGGGAATTTTGCTGATAAGAATGATAAATTAATAAGATGTGTCAAAATTTTGGATACATTGTCAGCGCATGATTTTAAAACTTTCGTGTTAATTTCGTCATATCCCTTTGAGTTTGTATTGTTTAATGATAATATTTACATTTTTACTTCACTTTCTGTCATAGGTTTTAGGTACATTTAATTCACTTTTGAGTTTCTACTTAAATCGTATTTTACATTCAAATTTTTTGTTGAGGTGTGATTTGTGGCCGTATCTATAAAATAATCATTAAAAGCAATAGCTATTTCTATGGGATTTGATAATACGTTATTTCCAACTTTAATGGTGTCTATATTATCCTTAACGTTCAGATTATGAATTTCATTTTTAATAATTCTCCATGCTGCCTTGCATTTGTTATTACTATTATTTATATATTTAATATTATCAATTTGTTTGGATTTATAAATACATTTCTTTAACCCTCGGTTGGTCGCGCTTTTAAACTTACGCGGTTGGTCGCGTGGGGTCTTTATGGACCCCAAAATTTAACAGCGTAGAAAACATCTTACAATTATTATTTTCTTATTTATTTTATCATATAATTGTTTATATATATTCCTTGAATAAAAAGACTATAATTTATTAGAAAATAAATGTTTATTAACTCCTTGAAACTTAAAATTAGAAAATAGGAACAAAATTTTTAGTGTTTTACATGACTTAGAGAAAAAAAAAATTATTTCTTGTAATAAAAAAAACAATCGTGTTAACCTTTTTTTTTGTATTTTAAGGCATTATTTAACAATATAAAAAGAAATGTAAGTAGATCCAACAAAAAAAAATATATACTTTTGCGTTTCAAATTCACACTAATTTTCCGTTTGATCACAGTCAGTACATACTGATTTTGAATGTATTGGACATATATTTCCCTTACAAAAGTGGCAGATAGTTTTAAATTTTCTATCTGTTCCCCTGGTGCAGTGAATACATCGTTTCCTCGTAGGTACGAAATCAGTATCTTCGTGAGGAACATCCACGGGACGAGGTACGAATCGCAGAATAAGCTGTTTCAATTCGCGTGGCAAAGTTGATATAGTGGCCCGCGATTCCAACTGAGGACGACATAGTTCGAATGCTAGCGTTTTCAAGAATAACTTGCAACCTATTCGGTTGTTAGGATTTACGGTATCCAATATTATGTGGGCATTTACCGCTCCAACATCGAGCATTGTAAAGAACAACCTCAACGGCCATCGGTAGCAAACGCGTGCAACAGTGTAAGTTCCGATAAGTTTATCCACCACGTCCACTCCACCTTTCGTTTTATTATAAAAAATTATGATTTCTGGAATCTTTTTCTCGGATGTCTCATCTATTATACCCTCATTGTGCATAGTTGAAAGTAGTAACACTGTTTTATCCTTTTTTGGGCAGTATGAGAGCAAAGTCTCTGTCGGTTTATATCCAAACGCTGTGGAATGTACTTGCAAGCCTTTTCGCTTGAATTCACTTGGAATTTCTGGTTTATTTTTTCTCAATGTACCCACTACTGTCAAATTATGATTTGTCAATAGGTCCTCAGCTAATGGAACACTAGTAAACCAGTTATCCATAGTCACATTTCGTCCTGTACCTGATATTGGTTCAATCATTCGTTTGACAAGAGCTTTTGTTGAAGTATCTTGAAAGTAGGGACCTTCTGGCTGTTTTCCGACATATATTTCTAAGTTTTTTGTGTAGAATGTCATGGCATCCACTAGAGAAAACAACTTTATGCCATATTTAGCTGGTTTGCTTGGCATATATTGGCGAAATCCACACGAGCCTCTAAAGCTCTCCAACATTTCATCTATAGTAACATATTCAGTGTTCTTGTAATTTGTCTGGCAATTTTTTACAAATTGCTCAAATATCTCTCTTATTGGCGCCAGTTTGTCAACGGCTTTGCGTTGTTCCCGTGTATGAATATTATCGAATCGGAGGACTCTTAATAAAAAACGAAAACGTTGCTTGGACATACTAGCACGGCATTTATCTAACCCCGTACCATCAGCCATCCAAATATCATCAATCAAAGCATGTGACGATTTATGAATACCAATCAAATACATAATACCAATCAACGCTTTTAGCTCAATGATATTGGTCTCCTCACAGTCACGCTGCCTCTCTTAATTTGTCTGCATAGATGCTATCTTTATATTCGTGCACTCCACAATATGCTGCAACATATCAACGTCCAAAAACAAAAGCCAAGATTCAAAGGGGTTACTCACCGCCCGAGCTGTACCCTGTGGGCCTGGTTGCTCTGTAACTATATTCTGTCTCCTTGTTCTGATACCCTGTGTGTACGGTGTCTTCCTCCATTTGCAAATTGTTTTATAGTGGCCACTTTTATCTTTTTTTTTGACAAAATAAAAGTTATGTGATGACATGTGGATCAATGGCTCATTATCATCACTATCCGAACTATCTACATCCATTTGTTGGTCTTCGGACGATTCTGACACATGATCCTGGGTTTCTGGATCACCATCATCACATTCTTGCTCTGAATCCGTGTTGTGTTCGCTTGTTTCGTCCGGGTATATATGATTTCCATCTTCATCATACTCTCCACCAAGAATCTCCTCTTCCTCCTCCTCCAACCAGTGCAATATGCGTTCTTGTTGTCGAGCGTCCATTATAGTAACTAAAACGCCTAAAACAACACAAAAATCATCAAAACATCAAGTGCTACAAGTAAATAAAAAAATAAGTTCCAATCACTTTTTACTGACGCGGTTAGTCGCGTGGGGTCTTTCAAAGCCTACGCACAAAATAACCTTCCGTATCTCACGACGCCTGCGCGGGCACTGAACTTAGCAGCGATTAGCGGAAACTATAATCAAACTTAGGAGGGTACCTGGAATTTCAAGTTTCTATGATAGTATTAACAATAAAATATTTGCATTTTAAAAATACCTAGGCTTTTAAAGACCCTACGCGACCAACCGAGGGTTAAAATATTCGAATAGTTTATATAGGTCATTTTATTGCGTATACTTTTTTGCTTATAGTATGTGTATCGAAGAACCCGTTTAGTTCGACAACTTTTTTAATCCTTGACTTATCCATTTATTTTTCCTTGTGTGACAATTGTTTAATTTTAGTTTTATTTTTGGAAAACATAAATTGTATAAAAGACATATCAATTCGTGAAAAATGTTAAAGGCCTTATTCAAGTCAGTTTCCACATAAATTTCATACCACGATAAGTTTTGTAGACAATCTTTAATGATTTCTTATATTTACGCGAACACTACACATTGAATAAAACTATTTTTACGGATTTTATCGCGTTTAATTTACTTATTTTATATTCCCGACGTTTCAACAATCTTTAAATTTTTTAATATGATCCAAGTTATAATTCTCCTAAAAATGTTGTAAGATGGTGCCGATTTTAATTTGTTTTTTACTGGAAATGTTAACATTTGTGCTGTGTTATGATCCGAGAGATGAAGTGGTAATATACTCTCAGTTGCAGTAGCGTTTGGAATGTTACTCAATATGTGGTCTATACAAGATAATTTTCGCGTAGGAACGTTTATATGAATTTTCAAATTGTAATTGTGACATAATTCTTGTAACTCACAAGTTAATTTTCCTTATTTTAATGTATTTATGTTTATGTCTCCTGCTAAAACCATGCGCTTCTTATAATTATACTTTGTGATTAAACTATAAAACTATAAAGTAAGTTATCTAATTTTTTTTTAAATAGGCGAGGATCTGATGGCGGTGTTCTTTTTTTTTTTTTTTTTTTTTTTTTTTATAGGATCGGGTGACAAACGAGCACACAGTTCACCTGATGGTAAGTGGTCACTGTGACCCATAGACATCTACATCTATCCTCAATAAAGACTCAAGATGCAGATGCGTTGTCACCCGTGAGGACTAAGATGGAATGCCTCTTTGCCAGTAAAAAGGGTCTCCGGTTCTCTACACTCACCATACGAAACACAGCAGCGTTAAGCTGCTATTTTACGCTGGTATTCTGTGAGAGCGTGGTCCCTCCCCGGTCGAGCCGACCCATTCGTGCTACAACCATAATATAGCTGCAGCATGGCTCTACCACGTATAAAATTTGTTCTATATTATTATTAATTTATTTGCTGTAATTTCGATTCCGCATACTTCAAATATGTTTTGTACTGCCTGATCTTTTACAAAGGACAACTCTTTGCATAGTAAGCCCTTTCGAACTAAAATGCAAGTTCCGCCTCTTTGTTTGTCCTTACAATAATAAGTTACTATTTCATAGTCACTATATTTTACATAATTATTGTCACCTTTCTTTAAAAATTTTAGCAGTTATAAGTCATTACGAATCGTCTCACACTCAGGCTCGACGACTTTCAGCCTGACGAACAAGCCTGTTTCCAAAAAGACTTTAGTACCATGGATGACATACCCACACTTCGGCAAATTCTACAGATGACCGAAGAGTACAATTTGCCAATTTGTCTTGCGTATGTGGACTATGAGGAAAAGAAAGAAAGCCTTTGATTCCGTTGAAATTTGAGCGGTGCTACAGTCCCTTCAGCAGTGCCAAGTTGATTTTCGGTATATCGAAGTGCTAAAGTGTTTGAACAGTAGGGCAACGGAGGCTATCCGAGAGGCGAGAGAGTAAAATAGGGTGACGTTATATCCAGAATACTCTTCACTGGTGCATTGGAATACGTTTGAAGATACTGGACTGGAATGGATAGGGTATTAACATCAATGGCGAGTACATCTCTCACTGTTTATTGCAAATTTGATTTTTCGCTAGTTGCCGGTTAACCCTATATCTATATAAACGATGTATCTCGCTATAGTTGTTTTGCTCGGCAACAGAACACAGTAAGAATAAAGCAATAATTGAGTAAAGGCAAGTTTATTTAATTTTTTCATCTTCAAGCAAAATTGCACCTTATTGTCGAGTGAACATGGTTCTTCGAACACGAATCATTTAACTCGCCCTATTTTAATTACGTAAATTTTCGAGTGGATATACTTGGAGTTATTTTAAAAAATACGGAATACGGGACTAATTAGTGAAAAAAAATTAACATTATTGAAGAAAAGCTCTAAAAAAAGAGAATAACAGTAAAAGAACCTTAAAAATAAGTTACCTGTTTTCAATAAAATTCTTACACGATGATTTCTAAGCATTAAGTTTATTTCTGAAATTTGCGTATACTATATGATCGATACAGATCGACAGAATCGTTGTGTGTATGTTTGTCTGAACACGCATCACACAAAACCTGTGAACCGATTTTGATATGACTCTCACTATCATGTTACATAGAGATCGAACCGTTCGAATAATTATAATTCATCACGATATCTGTCATAGCAGCTGGGCAGTAGGCATATATCTCTTTTTTATCTTTTGCAGCTAAAAAATGGTTTATAATTTATATTGTCGTGCGATTATATATTTCACGGGGCAGAGCCATGCTGTACCTATATTAATAGCATAGTTGTAGCACGAATGGGTCGGCTCGACCGGGGAAGGACCACGCTCTCACAGAATACCAGCGTAAAATAGTAGCTGAACGCTGCTATATTTCGTATGGTGAGTGTAGAGAACCGGAGACCCTTTTTACTGGATATGAGACATTCCATCTTAGTCCTCACGGGTGACAACTCATCTGCATTTTGATTTGTAATCAAAGATAGATTTAGATGTCTATGGGCCGCAGCAACCATTTACCATCAGGTGGACTGTGTGCTCGTTTGTCACCCTTATCATATAAAAAAAATATTGAAAAACTACATTATACGAACTTGAGTTGTTTTTTTATTATTCCTATCCCTTATTATCTTACTATCGTTTTTTTTTTTATTTAATTGTAATAATACTTAAATAAAAACAAAAAGTACACCAATTTTTTCTACAAAATTTTTTTCAAGTCTAAAAGGATTATGTGCTTGTTTTTTTTAGCGCCGATAATTGAAAAAAGAAGTAGAAAATGCTCTATAAGAGTATTACTTTATTATTTTTTTCCTTTAAATAATCAATTCAACAATTTATTTTTTATTAAAAAGTAAATGACCGTTATGAGACGTGCACTTTTGGATTGTCTAAACTTTTTTAATTTATTGTGCTATTGTTATTAGGATAAAAATATATTTATATTAACCATCTGTAAATAACACAGGATTTAAAAAATTGTTCTTCGCTCCTAAAAATAATCTTTTAAGAAAATTGAACCGAAAAATCGCTTTTTTTCTCGTTTTTTTGCGTTTACGGGTTATGGACAATATTTCTATTGCCTGATGGGATTTTTTTCTTCAAGCATTCTTAAAAGATAATGGAATTACTCGTATTCTTTATTAAATTCACTATCTGACGATGTACAACTTAGTTAACTTTCGTGAACTAACAAGTGTATTGATAAAAATAGCTGTAAAAAGGAAGCGAAAAATACTTTTCGATCGCAAAGCACTCTCTAAAGCTTCGCATCACGAGTCTTGCAAAACAAACGAAGTTCTGAAAAATATTTCTTCGTTACAGTCCGATGAAAACGATTGTTTGTTATTAGATCGTTATCTTAAAATTTTCTTAAACTTAAATAAATATATGTACCTCGTTCAAGTTTTTTCATTAAACACATATAATCAAACACATATCGGAAATATCAACTTAAAATAAAAATGATAAAAAAATTATGTGAGAACTCAAAGACTTTTTTATTAGATTTACATATATTAAATATAATAGATAAATTCTCTGCATTAAAATTTCTGCTATATAGGAACACTAAAAAAACATATTTAATTATAAATATAATATTGGTCCTTTTTTTACTCTCTCGTAGTGCTTTGAAAAATTTTCGTTTCCGGAAGCTGAAAAAATGAATTAATTACATATTAAGTTTGGTAAAGAGTTCTTTTTAAAACTCACTTACAAAAAATTGTTATATACATAACTTCTCGCAGTTTTTGGTTACGACCACCTCTTCTTTGCTTCGGTTTTCGTTGTACGTATCTATAAAAAAAGAATGATAATTATGACAATAAATATAAAAATCAAAAGTGAACACACAACTACTAACTGATCATCAAGTTTTTCATTATAGAGTGTGTA